CCGATATTTTAAAAAATATCAACGGTCCTAGTTTGAACTGATAAGTTGGAATGATCAGTTGAACAGACCGTGTGTGTCTCTAATGGTCGCTTACACACGGTCAGTTAAAGGCACGTTGAACCGATATCAGTTCAAACGGATTAAAGCCAAAGAAATTACTAGACTATTTTTTAGAATGTCGGATTTTCCATATATCGATAATTATAAATATATCAATATCTGAGTTTTATATATCGTGAGTAAATATACAGTAAGTCAATATCGGAGCTTTATATATTGAAAAAAAAAAATATCGATAGATATATTAAAAAAAGAAAACAATCGTAAGTGATTTAGTTTCATTTATTATATTTATTAAGCAAATTAAATTATAAATGTATGAATATTTTAGATTATAGTTCTTATTATTTATTGTTTAATTTAAATAAGACGATTATGTTTACCAATATTTTTCGGTAAGAGTTTTCAAAAATACTCGTTGTTTTATATGTTCAGCTGTTTTATATGTTAAGAAGCACAGGTGCTACAGATGTAGCTGATGAAATTAAATATTTAACAGCTATTTCTGATAGAGAAGGAGTAAACTCTCTACCCAGCGGACAGTCGATGACGACAGTAACTCAAGTTCATAAGATGCTTGAAACTTGAAACTTGAGGTTTATATTAACATCGAAGCACTTGTTTCGTCGTTTTCTCTATTAGTTCACATGCCCAGACACTGAATACAAAAAATCGCATAAATTTTAGGTATCAAAATCCACTACAAACCATTATTTAAACGATAAAACAGGACCAACAATCCGTCGACGGTCAAGTTCTCGCTAAAACACACAGTAAGTAAAGTAGTATTAAGTTTCGTTGATTATAGTAATTTTAATAACACAGAGATATCATACTATACAAAATTATATTTCTTTTTAAGTTAATAAGCAATGAAATTCTTCTTCTCAGTCGATACGCTCTTGACAGAGCGGTCGTGGTCGTCACTTGGGTGTTGTGGCACGCTTTACAATACGCCTCCACTCCTCCCTAATAGCTGCCTTTCTTGTGCACTCATGCAACGGGACATCCACCGCAGCCCTCACCTGGTCTGTCCATCTCATAGGCGATCTGCCACGCGCTCTAGTGCCCTCTACTCTTCCCTGGACCACTAGACGTTCAATCGAGATATCATTACGTCTAGACACGTGACCAAAGAAAGTGAGTATGCGAGCTTGCACAATAGATGACAGACGTTGCTTGATGTGGAGTTCTTCGAGAATGGACTTATTTGTCCGGAATTCGGTCCAGGACACTCTCAGTATTCTTCTCCAGCACCACATCTCGAGAGCGTCTATTCTCTTCTTCTCACTTTCTCTCAGGGTCCATGTTTCCGAAGCGTAACATGGACCCTGGAGAAATATGGGGAACACAAGCGCTCTAACTAACCGGGTCTTAGTGGCTTTTGTTATGTTACGGTTCCTCCATATCTTCCGCAACTTATCCATGGCTGTCCTAGATATCGCCATACGTCGTTTTATTTCATCTATGCAGCCCCCGTTGCTCGAAATTAGCGCTCCTAAATAAATGTATGATTGGACTACTTGACAGTTCGCGATTTGTGTCACTTCCGGCGAGTTATTATTGATGCGATTGACAATCATAACTTTAGTTTTGCTGCGATTGATTGAAGCAATGAAATAATATGAGAAAAATTATTAAAAGCATAATATATTGTATATAAATAAAGTACAGTATATTAGGTAGTAGTAGATTAAATGATTAACGAGAAAAAAATTAAACACTTTATTGAAAAAAATATCGACAGTCCATATTCATATTTCAACTCTTAGTCCAACGCGCGATCATCGTATGGCTACATCATAGAGTGAACGCGTTAATGCTGGGGCTACACTAACGGGAAACGTCAATGCCAATAAACGCAGCAATTATTGTTTTAAATTTAACGCGATAAAGCGAGTGGCTGCACTTCAACACTCAACCTCATTCGGTTTCAACGCCATTGAACGGCGTTAAAATTGTGGTTAATGTTCCTTGAAGACTTCTTATATTTGTTTAAAATGGTTCTATAAAAATTGATTAGGCTTGCCTTCGTCTTTCTAATTCTTAGGTGGTTGTTTTATAAGGTAATAATTGTATAATTCGTCGCGAAGCATCATTTTGCGATGTACGATTCTGGAGTCTCGGATCCCACAAACATGGTTCTGTTTGCAGAAAATCAAGAAACATTATAACTTTTTTATTATTCTCCGTTCTATCATAGCATAGCCGTGCGACCCCCTTGCACAATGAGACAAACGTAGTGTGGCCGCTTCACGGTGAAGCGGCCACACTACGTTCGTCTCGTGTCGGTGAAGCCTTCACGGCATTATTTTGTGCGTTAATCTCTTTGATGTACCGCCACTCGAGTTATAGCCAAACGACACTGTTAATGTCATTGTCAAATTAATGCGTTAAGTCGTGGCCACACCTAAATTCAACGTTCATCAACGCGATAATTAACGGAATTTTTCGTTAGTGTGGCCCCAGCGTTAGATTGTACAAAAAATGATAAAATAAAGGTTTAGAATTAATAAAATAATTATTTGATTTGTTTGATAATCAAATATGTTGATTTTTATAAAATAATAAATTTTTCGTATTGTATTAAGTTACGTAACACATATAGGTACACTATATTTAGTTTAGTTTTCTTTATTTTTCTTGTGTTTTCTCCCCCTTTGGGGTCATAAATTTTTTAGAAGTGTCACTCCTTTAAATTAATAATAATAAAAATATAAAAATAGTGCCTTTAAATTGCACCATCAGAAAGGTGAGATCATAACAGTCACCGAGGTCTTTATGAGTCCTTTCAAATGAGTTCAAACACGATCGTCCTATCTAGTGGCGTCACTGAGATCCTATACCCACCTTCGGATTCCACCATCAGCTAGGTGATATCATCATAGTCATCTAGGTCTTCATGAACTTTTTTGAAAATGAGTTGAAAAAAAACACGCTGGTACTGCGTAGCATCACTGAGATCCTTTACCAACCTGAGTCAATCATCAGGAAGGTAACATCATCACGGTCACCTTAGTCTCCATCCTCCGTCAAACGAAATTCGCTAAATATGTAAAATAATAAAAAAATTAAACAGCATAGAAATACGAGTAATGTAAGTAGCTACTAAGAAAGTAATTACTTAGCAGTAATTAGAACGAATTGAAGCCAGCTAATTACTGTGCGCCCGGAAAACTCCGTGGAGTGCCATCAGTTAAAAATTTCATCTTAAGATTTCAAACTCACGATAAGTTTTTGGATGCACATCAATTCGACTGAGCAGTTTCAACCGACAGTACGCCCGAAAAAATCCGTGGGTTATCGTCAGTTGATAATTTCAACTTAAGATTCCATACTCACGGTCAGTTTTGGGATGTACATCAGTTCAACTGATAATTTTAACTGACCATAAAAATATAAACAGCGCTCCAGAAGGACGTAAAAAGCTATGTTTTGGTACACAGTCACTTGATAGCGATATGAATTCGATGCGATATAAAAATTATGCTCAGAAGTAACATTTTGTACTTTTAGATAATTGCATCCATATATATATATATATATATATATATATATATATGTATATTCATGTTCTTTACATTAGTATCTTGATTTTCGTTATTATTGTGTATTTTATATGAATCACATGGATTAAAAAAATTCGTACTTTGTTACTTTCGACCATGTAGGCGGGTCGAAAGTGACACGTTGTGGGTTGAAAGTAACAGGACAATGGCTGGGCAGTCTGGTCACTCGATGTTGGAAGATTATCAACTGGAGTCTCCGAATAAACTTGGATGGAGGACGTTGCATCAAAACTGATCAACAGATCATTTGCTAGAATTTCATTGTTAACTTGTAAAGGTCGGTCCGTGACAGATGATGGTGCATAGTCAACAGCAGCAAATATATTCCTATTAAGTGGACTTACTGGTACAGGTAAATCCGGAAGTTGCATTTTGACCAGCGAGAGAAAGAGTAAATGCTACTTTAACAATCCCAGGAATGCAATGGATGGTCATTGTTCGACCGTCATGATTCCGCATCCAGTTGTCTGTAGCAGTGTTTATCATTTTTCGAATGGTCCAAATACTGCTCTATCTAAAGGCAGAAGTGTGTGCGTGCAATGAGGTGGAAACGATAGCAGTACTATTGCATTATTTTTACAAAAATTTAGAGCTTGGGTAGATATAAGTATTCCATGTATGGTTGTCGAGCAGTAACAAGAATTTTTGATCAACTTTTCGCTTGAATTGTTTTTTTAAGTGTTCTAGAAAATGTAAAAATTTTGCTTTCTGCATCCATCCACTAGCATTGCCAGCATCGGCAAAACCAACAGGACCGTCATCTATTCCTTACCCGCCATTTGAGTATCGTGCCACTTTTCATGAAATGTTTTTCCATTTTTTATCGCCAAATCCTATGCTAGTTTACGTACTTCAGATAGAGATAACCTAAAATAAATGCCACAGCACTCTATGTCCTGTAGACTAGATTTTTTTATCATCAATAGTAAAAATACGGTTGACGCAACGGTAGCCCACAACTGCGCTCGTATTTCCTATTTTAATTTTTTATGCATAATGTAACATGACCCGCATTATACCAGCCTATGTTTTTGCTAGGGATCTAATTTTTGTACCATCTTTTTAATGCTTTTCAGCCGGATCCGTGTCAGTAGTTCCTCGTGTGGTAGTTCTTATGCGTTGTGGCGGCATTCTGTTTAAATAAATACACATATTACAATATTAAGTAAATAACTCAATACTGGGACAAAAATAACATGTTACTTTTGTACCCATAGGGCTATGTTACTTTTGTACCCTACCACATTTTTGTTAAAACATGAAAAATAACCTTAAAACGGAACGTGCTAGACAAAAACAAATTAAAACACTGTGTTATCAATCTAATCAAGAATTAATGTGCAAATATTCAGGTTGGTATCATCCTTTTAGGACTACAAAAACACTAAATAAGAAAACGTCAAAAAACTTACTTTTGATTTGTGAAATCACTAAACGTCCTCTCACGCAACCTAACCACGGGTGGCGCGCCTGGCGACTGAATGCAAGTGAGGGTAGGGTCACCAGTTATCACCTTACGGCAGCGAAGCGGTATTTGGCTATTGGATAAACCTACAGAGCATTTGTTACTTTCGACCCACCGTTACTTTTGTACCCGATCTCCCCTACCTACGTTAAACTGGCATATAGCACAAAATGCACATGAAATGCTTCGTATATAAAAAAAATGATTGAGAATGTTTCTGTTGCCATTTCCTTGCAAATGTTCTTCAAACACGACGCGATTTGCGTGTAATCAGCCATCTCGTCGTCATCCGCAGCTCGTGCCTTTACCCTCCAATGAATATTCATATCGTGATCAATGTGCGCTTCCTTTATTCAAAGTAAACTTGTGTACGTGTCCTTTGAAGCCTGCTTTGTATTACATAAATGTTCAATTGAACTTGAGCATCTATATGCTTATACGTTGATAAACTCCAAAAATTTTAATCGTCTTTTTTATGTAGGTACATCATAGAACATACTTCAGTTACCGATGGGTCTGTTGTCGTTTCCATTCTGTACATTCTCGTACATACCTACTATTCTATGAAATATTATAGGTATTTTAAAAACTTACTTCAAATTTTAAAGTTAAATATTTCGTAAACGAACCCCAGCCCTGAATCGAAAATATATTGTTCCATATCCTTTCATATCCCAATATTATTGAAAAACTCCAACAACGGTTAAAATTATCCTCCCCTTGTTACCTATATGGGAGGCACTTAAAAAAAATTTGTCACGGTTTATATCACAACTTTGTAGACGTGCATCGATATTAATATCTAAATATATGATAAATATTAGCTTTGTGTTTGCCGCGGACGGACGGACTTGGCGAAACTATAAAGGTTCCTTGTTGTTTGTACTACGGAACTCCAAAAAGACTCGGCTTTCTATTTCAAGCAAACCTGAAGATCTTTCATATAAATAAAATATAGAAAAGTGGCCATTTATAATTATACAAAATGTACATCACCAGAATAAACAATCATATCTTTCCCACGGAATTCGCACACAAGCGGAATTCCCACGGAAAAACTATCTTTCTCACGGATGTTTCTAAAGTTGCAGGCCATTTGTTATATTTATGACGTGATCGTCTTAGGACCCTTATTTACGTTGTGTTTATATAGTAACTCAGCTCTTTTAGGTGTCTCTTGGAAGAATGAATATTCATCAGAGCAGTCGAAAGCTGCTGGTAGTGCCTTATAATTATTTTTGACCATATGACCGGACTCAAAAAAGGTTAAAAACATTAAATCGTCATTATTCCACTTGTATCAGATTCACATCAATCAATTCCTTATTAATTAATATCTTCCCGCTGGGAAAAGGCTCATAATATTTATATAAAAATACCCGATACAAGGACTTCGAAATAAAATACTTCGACATGTGAGGGAGGCACACGGCTTCACAGTCGCCCCGTTCCGTGAACGCCAACCAACCAATGCGCTCCCACCGAAGAGGGATGTTAAGTTGAGAACTGAACCAGCTATAGTCCAAAGCAAGATTACTGGCGATCCAGTAAAAGAAGGCCCCTTGGTAGTGCGTAAACACAAACATCAACCGAAGTCGCGCATGTCATTGCGTGTAAACGCCATACAGAATACGATCAAATGCAGCTACACTGGCTTGACGTCATACAGTTAAGGCAACACGTTGAATAATAGGCACACTGGCCATAAAAAGCCCCACGTGAGTGCCACTACCTGCCAGACCACCGCTCCTGCAGATGTGATGTAAGTGTAAGGCATCACCACCAATTGCAATATCAGCCGGCTTCTAGCCGCAGAGTTTGTCATGAATCTACCGCTCACCTCAAGAGAATGGGGTCCGAAAGCCGCTATAAGATAATAGTAATAATTTGCCATCAGAAAGGGTTTGTGTAACTGACGTTGAGTATATGCATTTTTCGATCATATTTGTCTCACCCTGAAATTTACAGAGATATTATTTTATTGTTGTTGTATATAAAACATCATGGAGGTCAGTCAGTCTGCAGCCCCGTCATAGAGGAACCCGATTTGAGCAAAGCTACTTAGGTGTGAGTCAAACCATGATGCAGAGAGCGCCATTGAGAATAACGACCCGCCAAACAACCATCGCAGAGACGCAATGGTACAGAACGCAACAAGCATTAATACGACTATCCTCCATAAAGTAGTAGAGTATGCTTGTTCATAAAAACCCCAGCAGACGTCACCATCCGCATACCTGCATTAATAAGATCCACAAAATGCACCGAATGCAGATGCAGCACACCCGCAGATCTATTACAAGACGCAATACCGCAAGAAGTAGTAAGCACCCATGCAATTATCACACGAATGCCGCCCCCTTACAACACACCCACACGACCCCTATCGACATTGGCAATAAAATTGGTACTGTTGTTAACTAAATTAGCACCAACGTAGTAGCATGCTACTAAGACGCCAGTAGCCAAAATCATATCATAGCGCTATTGCACTAAGACATGGAGTTGAGTATGCTTGTTGCACTTAAAAGTACTAACAAACACACTCCCTAATCTGAAAGATAGCCGACGTATCATAATTCTATGCACTAAGAGACCGCCCAAAAATGGTAGCGGTGTGCTATATTCACGGGCGAATCGTATTGTTATAACAAGTCCGCTTACCACCGAAGCGAAGATGGTATGCCTAAGATATATCGGTTAGCGAGTCCGAGTTTATCTCGGTCTCGGATACTGTTTTTCAAGTCCTATTTCTCTTATTTCTTACACCTTAGGGACTATTATACTATTATATGTCTTTATTATATGAGACTTCAATCCACAGCACTGCTATTATAATGCTTATGCATCTAAAAACCTTCTATATTAATGCTTTTGTATCATAGACCTTACTATCATAAGTCCATAATATAGGACTATACATTGTACTACAGTACTTTAGTAGTCATAAATCTGACCACCCCATATATATGTATACCCATGGGTATGCGTCTCCGGCTTATGAAAGCAATCGTTACATGAACACCCTCCTCTATAAGTCTGCTTTGTGACCAATTTTCCAATTTAATATACCCGTAAAATTTAATATGCCTGCACTTGCGCGAAGGTTATAGGCATTGTACAATTAATTTACTGTAGGTGACGCGCGTATCATACCGATACATTTATTTGAAAGATATATAACCTACGAGCACATATAACACTCAACTTTAATGAATGTATTATAATTTCAAATTAAACAATATAACTCTTCCAAATTTAAAACGATATTTCCCCAATTATTTCTTCCGCGGCTGCAATACGCCGGTTACCGGCTAGTTATATCAAAATACTTTAATACTTAATGTTCGAAATGAACGTATTATAATACATTTAGGCTTATTAATGTATTTTAATTGTTTAAAATATTACTTTTAATATAGTTTTGAACTGTTTTATATAGAAATTAATTATTAGTAATAATAAAACTCCGTCACACTATGTAGTTAAAAAAATCTTTGCTACATCGAATTACATTAGAAAAATAATAATCCATATAGTCACTAGGTACTTGGCGAAGGATTTTGGGGTGGTGTAGGTACTGTCCAGCTTCTATAGACTATTTCTATTCGCTCCGTCGCTCGGTCTTTGATATCTCAGAAGTTGCTGCTTCCATTTGCGCAGCCTACTTAAACACATCTCGTAATCTGCCTTAGTTAGGCACACTTCTAAGCGGCTACTCGCCGCTTGCGCCCTCCCAACCCAAGGAGGGTCGCGTCCGTTTACGGCTTAAAGATCTCTCGTTAGATCGTTAAGCCAATCCCAAAAGGCGGTGTTTAGTGGGTAAAAGTCTCCACATAACCACACAACCGGCTGCGTGGTATGCTATGAGCATTCACCACCTCCCTCCCCCGTTACCGGAAGGTTGCCCTTTTTTTCTTCGGGCGCAAAAAAAAAGAGTTTAAAAATTACGTCGAGGTGACGCGCTGTGCTAGGGACTTAGGGAGACAAATTACGTTTCATTACGTTACATCCGGTTATCATATGAAACACAGTAGCATTATTCTGATGTTTCACGCTGGTATTTTGTGAGAGCGTGGTCCTACCTCGGTGGAGTCGACCTATTCATGCAGCAGCTATGTCTAGCTAGCATATTATGAATACTTTTTTTATTTTCACATGAGCAGAAAGGTTATACTTATGCATGATATGTTTGATCGTTCGATTCGTCGGATCGGAAGTTTGGCAATAAAAGTGAAATGGTGTGGAAGACTTATTCAAATTTGTGATTCAGCATTTTGTTAGCGTTTCTCCGGAGTGTTTAGCGCTGATATGACATCGTGTATTTACGCGTTTTATAAACATATTTTCTCCACGCTTCTTATGCTTAAATAACAATTAAGATAATTGATGCATAGATATTAAAGTTTTACTGTCTTCAATTTTATAGCACTGCGAACGATATTATGAATGTTGCGTCAGTTTTATTAAGGACAGCTATTCCCTACACTCCTTACTATTGACCTATCTGTAGCATGCGTCCCACGTTTTTCACCTGGGGCTCGTAAGTCAGGAAATATTATGTTATACCTTTAGGACCGTTTGAAAAATGTGGTTTATTATTTTTTATTAAGACAATTATTTTTTCTATTTTAGTCTAATAGTATTTACCTCATCGGGAAGTTCATTTTAAATTGTTTTCAAGTTCATTTTAAATTGAATTCTATTGCAAAATTTATACAATTTGTTTGTCTGTTCGGTGTGCAAATTGTACTATAAATAGACAAAAATTGAGTAAATATCACATTGTCATCCAGTTCAAAGTTATATCAAAAGTCACGATTTTCTAGCTCATCCGGAAGTTAGTTTTAATTCAATTGAAACATTTGTACCGAAATGTCAAACAACAAAGAAAGTTAATCAAGATGTGCTAAAATAATATACCTACTTTTAATAAAGGGATTATTCTATAAATTATGTCGTAATAATTTTATTTATATACAGTTACTTACATACCACAAAAGTATACAGGTTTTATCATAATTCATTCATTGATGAAACTACTTTTACGGATTTTATTCAATGATTTCAAAAGTATCTTAATT